CCCCCCCCCCCCCCCCCCGCAGGAAAGAGAATGAAGGTAAGGAGAATAAAAATTGCTTGTAGGAGACAAGTCAACCCTGCTCTGAACAGTTCTCCTCAAGCTTCCCATATTTGGTCAGCTATGGCAGAGACTCAGCTAACAAGGTCTTTTTTTTTTTTTCTAGAATATAAGTTACAGCCGCACAGCAGGGCCTAACAGAGATCGATTAGTGCCTACAGATATTTATGTTCTTAATGATATTTTCGCATTTTACTGGTTTATTGGTTTTGACTCGATGACTTCTTAAAGAATTTAACCACTGGGTATACTTGGGGGTTTATGAATGGTCATGCTTTGTCTGAATGGCATCTCGGTGGGAGTCTTTTTATCTAATGGCTCCTACTGAAGAAGTTGCTTAAACACACAACTCCAATAACCCGCGAGGCCTCCGGTACAAGAGGACTCTGTGCGTGTGCGTGGTTTGTGTGTAAACATTTCTGATAGTGTACCTTTTTATCCTGGGGTTCTGCTTACAAAGGCTAATTGTCTTTGTAGCAAAAATGAGAGTCCCTCAACATGAATTTTACTGTGCTTTAGAATGGATTGCTTTTCTTTTGGGAACATTTCTGAGGTCTCACGAAGTCAAGAAGAAACCTGTAACTCTTGCTGTAATTACAGCCTGTCAAGAACGTGTCTGATCTGGGCAACAAAGCCAAGTAACACGGTCTATGAATAATAGGTATTCTGTTTTTAAGTGGATTCCCTTGCTGGACGCGGGCCTGGCTGTTGATTCTAGAGTCCGGGCTACTGTTAGAAGTGTCATTTCCGAGCTAAACCTCCCCAGATGGAGTTCACGGAAACTCCCAAATTAAGCTAGTGGAGGGCACGTGCCCGGGTCTCGGCACTGCAGAGTCTGCCTCAGTTGCTGGCCTTTGGGCTCCCGATGTAGTGCCTCCACCCCCGTCTCTCTGCTTCCGTCTTATCAGAGGCGCGCTTCCCCAAAGATGTTAAAGTGGTGGAGATGGCCACGCCGCCCGGGTTAGGTACAGGTGAGAAGCCCCCACCAGGTGGCAGGATGGGGAAGGTGGGTGGAGCCCGAGCGCCCGTGGAGGCCAGGGCGTGTAAGCGGCCACCAAAGAAAGCTGTCAGCTGTGCTGGGCCACCCCTCCAGCTCTCTGCTCAGTGAGAGGTAAGCACTTCCTCACGGTCACTTGGTGACAGCATCCTAGCCGGAGCAGCTTAGGGACACCGCGGGCCGGGTCATACATTCAGAGACCTTAACGGGCAAAGACCTCAGAAACCATTTCCGTCAACCCCCTCGTTTTACAAAAGCAGACACCGAGGCCACAGAAGTGAAGCGGTTTGGCCTCGGTCACGAAGCCAGTTAGCACTGGAACCTAGAACTCAAGGTCCCCACCGGGCTCCCTCCGGTGACCTCCCCTCCGGGTAGCCTAACTAGCTCGTCAGTCAGGTGTGGGCCCTTTGCCCCGAGCCGCGCCGCGCAGAGCCCCCGCCCTCTGAAGTCCCCTCTGAAGTCCCGGGGCCGCAGCTGGCCATGGGCGGGACGGCCGCCACACCTGGGTTTTTCCCCTCTGAGCTGGCACTCGTACACGCGAACGCAGAGGCACACTGTGAAGAAACACGACAAGCCAACGTGCAATTACGTGTCCCTTTATTTATAAACAGGTTGGGAACGCTGTGTTCCACTGGGGAGCGGGGGTGGGTCAGGGAGGGACGAGGGGGTAGGGGTGGAGGGCTGATTCCAGTAGTTCGCGTTATTCAGCACCAGAGCAAATGCTTGGGCGTAAGGTCGTACTTTAACCCAGATGAGTCTCCGTCTTCTTGTATGTACAGCAGAGTCTTAAGAGTGTGTGCTCTTCTTATGGCTTTGTCCCGGTGCACATCGCAGCGACACAACAAAAAACTCAATTCTAGAGAGAAGTAAAAGTTGCAAATGCCTCGTGAACTTACTCGTTTTTAAAAAGTCTGATGGCCAAGACTAGTGCTGAATGGATGCCTGAGGAACAGGAACACCTCTGCTCCAAACGGGCTCATCTGATTCAGCTGAGTCTGAGCCGCCAACTCGCTCGTCTCCCTGGGGTACACCTGGGTGCTAAAGGAAGTCCTGAAGCCGAAGAGAACACAGGCGCACGCTCGCTCTTTCCGTCCCTCCCTCCAGGGATGGACTCACAGTGACTACAGCCCAAGGCAAAGAGCGAGATCCCAAGCCCGCAGAGCAGGTCAGAAGGCAGTCTTAGGTCTCAGGGTCGCTCGTCTTGAGGTTGGTTTCTTTTGCTTTTCTAAGGTCCTGGCACGTGGGGGCGGGCTTGCGAGAAGCGGGCCGTTCGGTGTGGCTAGGATATTAGAGCTCTCCTGTGTTTTGAGCCGGTGGAAGGGTGAGTGTTTGATTTCAGGGCCCTGGGGAGAGGGTGTGGCAGCTGACGGAGAAGTGGTGAGCCGGGGGAGCTGGGGAGGGCAGGGAACCCACACCCCGCACGGGTATTCACTAACCTTGGGTGTCTGTGAAAGGAAGCCTTCCTTCTTCACCTGTTAGGGGGTGAGTGACACTCTGAAAGGGAGCAGAAGGTGACTGCTCCCCTACTCTCCACCCTCCACCCTCGTTTTCGCCCGTCTTTGTAACCTGGCCCCCATCTGCAACGCTCACTACCGTTCTCTAGTCCTCAGTCTAAAGCTTGCTCGCTTTCTCTCATTTCTGCTGGCCTCTTCGAGCCTGCACTTAATTTCTACATCTCTCACTCCAGCCCTGACTCACTCTGGGTCATTACTGTTGATTGGTCGCCCGAACACAGAGCACCCCCATCTCTTCCTGGGGCGTGGGCTGGAAGACGCTCATGGCCAGAAGCGCCAAAAGTTGGGCGGTTAGGCTGTGGAATCCCGCCCCCCCGGCATTCCTTCTCAGTAGTCTCATGGCCCTACAACGGTGGGCGGGTGCTGTTGGAGGACAGCAGGGGCTCGGAGGGTGAGCTTTAGAACAGCTTGTGGGCTGCTGTGGCCCATCCCCGAAACATCCCAGACATTGGTCGTTTCCCATTCGTGGCGCTGAGTCTGAGTCACATAGGTGGCATCTGTCAGTACGCGGTAGAAGGCCCGCAGACGCGTAATCAGCCCGATCGATCAGCCCCACATTATTTGCTTCAGAACACAACTCAGCTGAGGGCGGGCCTGCGCCGGGCCGTGCAGTGAGCACAAGGTAGTTGCTCCTACACAAAGAGCTCCTGAAGTGGTTTGAGAGCACGGGTTTCCTCTAACGTCCTTTCCGCTCTCGAGGCCCCTCTTCTCCCCTTTTTCCTCCCCCTGTTCTCCCCCACCTTGCCCTGCCCGGCTCTCCCCATCCTTTCACTGCAGCCGAGACGGGGTCTGGGCGCCAGTTTGCTCCAGCTGCATGAAGGAGGGGCGAGCGAGTGGGCACAACGGAAGCACGGGGCCTCACTCCCTCGGCAGGGTGACGCTCTGGGCCTTGACTACAGGCAGGTTCCCTCTAGAGTGCCGCGTCCCCCCCGCGGCAGTCCCACGACTGCTCAACATTACTCTGGAGAGAGTGCCAGCAACGAGGGGGTTCCAAGCTAGCTCAGCCTCATGGTCCTGCTTCCCAGTAAACCCCACTTCTCTCCAGGTGGGCAGGGAGGTAGTTCAACCCCGACACCAGGGGGAAAGACATGCCACCTTCCTTCGTTGGTTGCCCCACTTCTCGCCCAGAAGGCTGGTTCCCGAGGCCTCGGAAGAGGGGTGTTTGTGGCATGAGAGACGCTGAGCTCTTCCCACAAGTTGCTGGTTTGGGCCTCTGCTCGGGCCCCAGCTGTCTCTGGCTTTACTGGGACCGGCGGGCAGTGCCTCCTCTACCTGAGAGTGTGGTTCTACACCCTGACTCTACCTGCTCCTTCCCGACCTGTCATTAGTGGCCAAGAAGTTCACACAACTCCACGGGAGTGCTTAGGGTCCTCGTCCCATTTGGCAAACCTACGGGCGGGGTAGCGGTCTAACAACCTAGAGCATGTCTATGCTGAGATCAAACTGAGATTCCGACACTGCTCTGGGAAACTCTTCAGAGCCTCCCTCCAGAACTATTACGGGAGGCCATGAGAACAACATGCTCGATTCCTGGTTGGGACAAGACATTTCTACAGGAATCCAGGATGAGTTTTTGACAAAGTGCCCAAGTCACAAGGGAACCAGGTAGTTCATTAGACCGAGGATTTCAGCCAGGGTATTAGGGTGAGAGCAGGGGAGTGTACTGTAAAATGCTACCACCGTATATTCGTATTGCATATGGTCTACACCCTGGAGAGCGTATTTGGAGCATACATAGGACAGATACGTGCAGGTAGCACCCCCTATTGGTATACTATGTGGTTTGGTATATCAAATGGTTACTTGAGGTCTATGAAATTGTTAAGTGGTCAGACGTGGGAAAAGCCATTCCACAGTTAGCATCCTTTAAGGAGAAGCTCCAGGAGACCTTGAGCATCTGCTAAACTCGGAGCCAAAGCAGAGCAGCTCCTCTTGACATACGTGCGCACACACACATACACAAAATGTTTTTCTCTGTTGTGTTTCCCACAGAGAAAGGTAATTTCTGGAAGGCCGTGAAGTCCAACCAAAGATGAAAAAATACAACCAGGAACATATTAGGCCTTACGTGGCATTCTCAACAAAACTGTCTTTTGGATAAGAAGTTAAGGTTCGTGCTAGATGACCTTTTACGTATCTGGCCTAAAGCGTGTCTTGGTCTATGCACCACGTTCCTGGAACTGGCAAGGATAGATGTGTTGCAACATCAGGTCTCAGTGGCTCAACTGAGAAGGTTGGAATTTGTCTTGAACTTGGCTATGTCAGAAGCACTTCGCCACCTCTATGGGAAACCATTTTATTCTGGCAGAGCTTGGGTGGGAGGAGGCAACGTGCAGGGCCCTTGTGAGCTGCAAGTAGCGGATTGAGGGAATGGCCACTTCCACGGGTGGTGAACTTGGTGGGGGCGGGTGGAAGGACCAAAGCAGAAGACACCCCGCTGGGTGCAAGTCTCCTGGGGGTGCTCTGCATCTTTCCTTAGCAAGGTTAAAGTAGAGTGATTCTGGATGCTGCTAAGAAGGTTTGTAAAGGTTGTCCGGCTAGAAACCTCCATGCAGAGCCCACATGTTAGGCTGAGTGGAGACTGGGGGAGAGCTGGTCCCCAGGCCTTACCTTAGCTGAGCCGCTGCCCCTGCGACTGTGACCCTTCCAACCCCACCCAGGCAAGCCCGGTGACCCCGCCCCCGCCCCAGCCCGCGCGGGGTGGCTCTCATCTGCCAGCAGCCTTTACTTCTCATCCTCATCCCCCTCACTCATGCTGCTGATGGAGGCTGAGGCTGCTTTGGGTGAGGAGGGGGGTGAGGTTTTGTTTGGGAGCCACGAGAAGGTGGGTGACGGGGAGCGGGACGGGGACCGGCTCCTGGTGGGGCTGCTCACTGGGCTCTGCTTCGGGGACAAGGCCTGCAGCATCCGGCTACTCCTCTCCTGGAACATCTGCTTCTAGAGAGAAAATGGGGAGAAAGGGTCTGTTAAGTTAGTCTTCCGAGCTGGTGGCGAAACAGGGCAGGAAAGAGAGCTGGCACCCCACCAGGCGGGCACCCACGCCCCCGTACCACACTCGATGCCCGACACTACCCGCGGGGAGGAGGGGAGTGAAAGGCAGGGACGGCCAGACGCCGACACACAGGTGGCCATCTGTGCTGGCTCCTGGGACTCGCCTCCTCGCCTGCCTTGACTCCAGCTACCAAATGTAACTGGAGGGGCTGCGACCTGCCAGGCACATCGTAATGTCCTAGGCACGGAAGGGTAGGGGGACACAGAAATCCCTGTCCTCATCGATATGAGGAGGACTCCCATAGTAAACGAAGGGAATGAGATACGTGTATGTCAGATGGATGTACGGGGTGTGAGAAAAAATAAAACGAGAGGAGAGCAAGATGGGGGTGTGAGGTGGGGAAGCGCTGGGCAGCAAAGGTAATTACAGTGCTCAGCGAAGGCCACAAGGAGAGGCTATTTGAGCAAAGACCTGAAAGAGATGAGGGCCTGGGGCCCATGTGACTGGAAATCGGGGGCAAACACATTCCAGAAGGGAGCATGCGGTACATGTCCAGGGAGGAGCGAGGAGGCCATGGCGGCCGGAGTGGAGTCACCCCGGGGAGGAGGGGGTTAAGAGGAAGTCACCAGAGAAGTGACACAAAACTGTGTCCCGTGGGCTCTTGGTGGCTGTGTAAGAACTTTGGCCTTTACTCTGAGAAGAAGAACCTCGGGATAGTTCCTTGACCCCTGGAGTTCTGGGTCCAAGAGTCAGGAACTGTGACTTTGGTTTGAAAAGGACCACCCTGGCCGCACTGCTGGGAGCACACTACAGGGAACAGACTACAGGGGCAGGACAGCCGGGGCTGGGAGAACGGGGTCGAGCACACCGTTTTAAGAATCCAAGGTTACACGAGGTGAGAAATGGTTGGAGGCCCGGTAGATTTGTTTTCCCCGGATTTTTTAAAGTATACCTGACTTAAGGTGACACCCACCCTTCTCAGCCTACGGTTCTGTGAGTTTTGATAAGCACCAGCAGGGTATGTGGCCGCCCGCACAGTCAAGGTCTTAGGAGAGTTCCATTGGCCACCGAGTTCCCACGAGATCCTTTGTCGCTCCCTCCCCCAGCCTCCGGCAACAGATCAGTTTTCTGTCCCTACAGTTTTTGCCTTTTCCAGAATGTCCTCTAAATGGAATCATGTAGTATCGTGGTCTGGCTACACTTTTTTTTTTTAATATAATTTATTGTCAAATTGGTTTCCATACAACACCCAGTGCTCATCCCAACAGGTGCCCTCCTCAATGGCTACACTTTGCAGGTAGAGCCCCCAGGAGGCGCTGACAGGTGGGATGTGCGGTGTGGGAGGAAGACTGATCAAGCGACTCCAGCTTCTGGCGTAAACGACTAGAAAGCCAGCAGTGTCATTTGCTCGGGTGGGGGACTCTGTGGGTAAAGGGGGTCTTGGTGGTAAGACAGCTCCGGCTCGGAACCTCAATTGACCGCTGGCTGGCGCTTTAAGAACTGAGTCCTTCCCTGACACGGTCCATCCGTCTGCTTCATGGGGAGCCCGATCTGGGCTGGCGGTGCCGTGAGCGTGAGCGCTCTGCCCTTCTGCTCTCCGCCTGCAGCTCGGCCCCCCACGTATATCTACGTCCCATCCCCCCCACCTCGGAGCACCCTGCCCGTGCTGCCTGGGCTCTATGCCTGGTTTGTCACGGAGCCTCCGCCCCCAGCACCTCAGTCCGATCTTGGGATCCTAAACTGGGCCTGAGAGCCATTTCTCCAGTTAGTGATTTGAGACCTGGCTTGTCATTCGAGTTACGCATTTTACAAACCACTCCAGAGCCCCCTGGAGACCACGTGCTGTACAAGCCGGGGCTTCAGTGATGTACAGGAAGGGGGTGGGGGTTGAGGTGGGAAGTGAGCCCATGAAGCTGGGGGAGGGGTGCCTTTTCAAGCAGAGGGCGCTAAGTAGAGAGGCCTAAGTATACTTTCTGGCCGACTCTAACCAGAGTGCCTATGGGGCTGACGGGGCCTTGGGGCTGCAGCACCAGTAACAGCTGGAATTGTTTTTATCCCTAAGAGCCCCTGGAAGATTTTTTTTTTTAAATTTTTTTTCAACGTTTTTTATTTATTTTTGGGACAGAGAGAGACAGAGCATGAACGGGGGAGGGGCAGAGAGAGAGGGAGACACAGAATCGGAAACAGGCTCCAGGCTCCGAGCCATCAGCCCAGAGCCTGACGCGGGGCTCAAACTCACGGACCGTGAGATCGTGACCTGGCTGAAGTCGGACGCTTAACCGACTGCACCACCCAGGCGCCCCGAGCCCCTGGAAGATTTTAATTAAGGGAGGGGTATCATCAGATGTGTGTTCCAGAAATATCTTTAGGTGGGAGCATAAAAGCAAAGAAAGAAACCATAAAGGAAAAGATCGGTGCTTGGCTATATAAAAGTGTATAACTTGTGTACCTCAAAAAAAAAAAAAACAAAAACAAAAAAAACACCCAGCATCAGATAAAATAAAAGGCAAGTGAAAACCCAGGGGGAAATTCTTGCAACATTTAACCATAAATAATGGATCTTCGTATATAAACAGAGCTTACAAATCCAAAAGATTAATGCAAAAACCTTGATAGAAAAACAGAGCATATGGCTTGTCAAGGCAATGCACAAGACTTACAAATGACCTATAAAAAATGTTCAGAATCCCTAGTAAACAAATGCAAAATGACTGAAGTGAGATGCCTTTTTTATATATCAGATTGTTAAAATTTTTGTCTTCCCAACATGTAAAAGTTTTTTTCCAGTTTTATTGAGATGTAATTGACATACAGCACAGTTGAAGGTATACGGTGTAATGATTTTACTTACATATATTATGACATTACTACCACAATAAGTTAGTATCTGTCATCTCATACAGATAAAAAAGTTTTTCCTTGTGATGAGAACTCTTGGGATCGACTTTTTAATATATACCGTACGGCAACGTTAACTATAGTCTTCATGCTATATATTACATCCCTAGTACTTATAAGTGGAAGTTTGTACGTCTCGACCACCTGCATCTGCTTTTCCCTCTTTTGTTCCTGTCTCTGTTTCTGGTAACCACAAATCTGATTGCTTTTTCCTTGAGTTGTTGGCTTGTTTTTCTTACTCTGCTTGTGAAATCATGCATTTGTGTGTCTCTAACTTACTTAGCATAATGCCCTCAAGGTCCATCCATGTTATCACAAATGGCAGGGTTTCCTCCTTCTTTCATGGTTGACTAATATTCCATTGTATACATCTACCATACTTTCTTTATCCATTCATCCACTGATAGATACTTAGGTTGCTTTCATGTCTTGATTATTTTAAATAATACTGCTCTGAACATGGGGATGCAGATAGCTCTTTGGCATAGTGGTTTTTTTTTTTTTCCCCTTTGGATTATATTCCCCAAAGTGAAATTGCTGGCTCATATATATGGTGGTTTCGGTTTTACTGTTTTGAGGAACCTCCATTCTGTTTTCCACCATGGCTGCACCAATTTACAATCCTGCCAACAGTGCATGCACAAGGGTTCCTTTTAATCCATGTCTCACCAGCATTTGTTATTTCCAGTATTTTTTATGGTAGCCATTCTAAATGGTGGGAGGTAATAAGTCAGTGTAGTACTGATTTACATTTCCCTATTGATTAGTGATGTTGAACAAACATCTTCTCATGTAATCGTTGGTCCTTTGTGTAGCATCCTTGGAAAAATGTCTTTGTGGGTACTTAGCCCATTTTTTAAGTGGATTATTTGGGGGTTTTGCTATTGAGTTGTAGGAGTTCCTTATATATTTTGGATCTTCATTCCTTATCAGACACATGGTTTCCACATATTTTCCCCATTCTGTAGGTTGTCTTTTAATTTTGTTGGTTTATTTTGCTGTGCAAAAGCTTTTTAGTTTGATGTAGTCCCACTGATTTTTGAATTTGTGACCTGTGCTTTAGGTGTCCTATTCAAAAAGTCATTGCCAAGACCCACGTAAAGGAGGTTTCTTCCTGTGTTTCCTTCTACAATTTTTATGGTTCCTGGTCTTATGTTGAAATCCGTAATCCTTTTCAAGTTAATTTTGGTGAGTGGTGTAAGATAGGGGTCTAATTTTATTCTTTTATGTGTGAATATCCAATTTTCCCAGCGCCATTAGTTGAAGAGACAGTCTTTACTCCATTGAGTATTCTTGGCTCCCTTGCATGGGTTTATTTTTTAGTTCTCAGTTCTGTTCCAATGGTCTAGGTGTCTGGTTTTTTTTTTTTTTTTTCTTTTGCCAGTATCATACTCTTTTGATTACTACATATTTATAGTATAGCTTGAAATCAGAAGGGTGATGCCTCCCACTTTTGTTCTTTTTCAGGATTGTTTTAGGTTTTAGGGGTCTTTTGAGGTTCCAGATAAAAATTAGGATTTTTTTCTCTATTTCTGTGAAAAATTCCATTGGAATCTTGATAGGGATTGCGTTTAATCTGTAGATGGCTTTGGGATAGTATGGACATTATTAATTTTCTTCCAGTCTATAAACATTAATATTCTTCTAAAATACCTTTCTATTTATTTGGTTCTTCAAGTTTTTTCATCACTTTCTTACAGTTTTCAGTGTAGAGATTTTTCACCTCCTTGTAAATTTATTCCTAAGTATTTTATTGCTTTGTCTTGTAAATAGGATCAGTTTCTCTTTCATGTAATTCATTATTAGCATTTTAAAAATGCTACTTGGGGCGCCTGGGTGGCGCAGTCGGTTAAGCGTCCGACTTCAGCCAGGTCACGATCTCGCGGTCCGTGAGTTCGAGCCCCGCGTCAGGCTCTGGGCTGATGGCTCAGAGCCTGGAGCCTGTTTCCGATTCTGTGTCTCCCTCTCTCTCTGCCCCTCCCCCGTTCATGCTCTGTCTCTCTCTGTCCCAAAAATAAATAAACGTTGAAAAAAAATTTAAAAAAAA